TCAACAAAATAGAAACACAGAAAACAGTCCAAAGAATCGATGAAACAAAAAGCTGGTTCTTGGAGAAAATCAACAAGATCGACAAACCCCTATCCAAACTAATTAAACGACAGAGAGAGAACACGCAAATAAATAAGATCAGAAATGAAAAGGGGGACATAACCACAGACACAGAGGAAATTCAGAGAATCATTAGATCCTACTACAAAAGCCTGTATGCCACAAAACTGGAAAATACAAAAGAAATGGACATTTTTTTAAATAAGTATCATATACCAAAGCTAAACCAAGACCAGGTGAATGATCTAAATAGACCGGTTTCTCGCGAAGAATTAGAAATGGTTATCAAAAATCTCCCTTCGAAAAAAAGCCCAGGACCAGATGGTTTCAATGCAGAATTCTACCAGAACTTCCAAGAAGAATTAATACCTATACTCCTTAAGGTATTTCACAATATAGAATCAGAAGAGTCATTGCCAAATTCCTTTTATGAAGCTACAGTTACCCTGATACCAAAACCACAAAAAGACCCAACCAAGAAAGAGAATTACAGACCGATCTCACTCATGAACATCGACGCAAAAATTTTCAATAAAATACTGGCAAACCGAATCCAAGAACACATAAGAAAAATTATCCATTATGATCAAGTAGGCTTCATCCCAGAGATGCAGGGCTGGTTCAACATACGCAAATCTATCAATGTAATCCACCATATAAATAAACTGAAAGAAAAAAACCATATGATCATTTCACTAGATGCTGAAAAAGCATTCGACAAAATTCAACACCCCTTTATGATAAAGGTCTTGGAGAGAATAGGGATACAAGGGTCCTACCTAAATATAATAAAAGCTATTTACAGCAAGCCAACAGCTAACATTAAATTAAACGGAGAAAAACTCAAAGCCATCCCACTAAAATCAGGAACACGACAAGGATGTCCACTCTCTCCATACCTCTTCAATATAGTGCTTGAAATTCTAGCAATAGCAATAAGACAACATAAGGAGATCAAGGGGATTCGTATTGGAAAGGAAGAAGTTAAGCTTTCATTATTTGCAGATGATATGATAGTGTACATAAGCGACCCCAAAAATTCTACCAAAGAACTCCTACAGCTAATAAACAGCTTTAGTAATGTGGCAGGATACAAGATCAACTCCAAAAAATCAGTTGCGTTCCTATACACTAAGGATAAGGAAGCAGAGAGGGAAATCAGAGAAGCATCACCTTTCACGATAGCCACAAATAGCATAAAATACCTTGGGGTAACCCTGACCAAGGAAGTGAAAGATCTACTTGACAAGAACTATAAGTCTTTGAAGAAAGAAATTGAAGAAGACACCAGAAAATGGAAAGACCTCCCTTGCTCTTGGATTGGGAGGATCAACATAGTAAAAATGGCAATTCTACCAAAAGCAATCTATAGATTCAATGCAATCCCCATCAAAATCCCATCAAAATTCTTCACAGATCTGGAGAAGACAATAATTAACTTTATATGGAAAAACAAAAAACCCAGGATAGCCAAAACAATCTTATACAATAAAGGATTGTCTGGAGGCATTACCATCCCTGACTTCAAACTCTATTACAGAGCTACAGTATTGAAAACAGCTTGGTATTGGCATAAAAACAGAGAAGTCGACCAATGGAATCGAATAGAAGACCCTGACATTAACCCACAAACCTATGAACACCTGATCTTCGATAAAGGAGCTAAAAGTATACAATGGAAAAAAGAGAGCATCTTCAACAAATGGTGCTGGCAAAACTGGATGTCAATCTGTAGAAGAATGAAAATAGATCCATATCTATCACCATGCACAAAACTCAAATCCAAATGGATTAAAGACCTCAATATCAGTCCGAACACACTGAACCTGATAGAAGAGAAAGTGGGAAGTACTCTACAGCAAATGGGCACAGGAGACCACTTCCTATGTATAACCCCAGCAGCACAGACACTAAGGGCATCATTGAATAAATGGGACTTCCTGAGGCTGAGAAGCTTCTGTAAAGCAAAGGACACTGTCACTAAGACAAAAAGACAACCCACTGACTGGGAGAAGATCTTCACCAACCCTGCAACTGACAAAGGTTTGATCTCCAAAATATATAAAGAACTCAAGAAACTAGACCGTAAAAGGCTAATCAACCCAATTATAAAATGGGGCACTGAGCTGAACAGAGAATTCTCAACAGAAGAAGTTCAAATGGCCAAAAGATACTTAAGGTCATGCTCAACTTCCTTAGCGATCAGGGAAATGCAAATCAAGACAACTTTAAGATACCACCTTACACCTGTCAGAATGGCTAAAATAAAAAACACCAATGATAGCCTTTGCTGGAGAGGTTGTGGAGAAAGGGGTACAATCACCCATTGCTGGTGGGAATGCAAACTTGTGCAACCACTCTGGAAAGCAGTGTTTCGGTTTCTCAGGAAATTCGGGATCAACCTACCCCTGGATCCAGCAATACCACTCTTGGGAATATACCCAAGAGAGGCCCTATCATACAACAAAAGTATATGCTCAACTATGTTCATGGCAGCATTGTTTGTAATAGCCAGAACCTGGAAACAACCTAGAGGCCCTTCAACGGAAGAATGGATGAAGAAAGTATGGAATATATACATATTAGAGTATTACTCAGCAGTAAAAAACAAGGACTTCTTGAATTTTGCATACAAATGGATGGAAATAGAAAACACTATCCTGAGTGAGGTAAGCCAGACCCAAAAAGAGGAACATGGGATGTACTCACTCATATTTGGTTTCTAGCCATAAATAAAGGACATTGAGCTTATAATTCATGTTCCTAGAGAAGCTAAATAAGGCGAATCCAAAGACAAACACATAGGCATCCTCAGGAATATTAACCTTCATCAGGCGATGAAAGGAGACAGAGACAGAGACCCACACGGGAGCACCGGACAGAAATCTCAAGGTCCAAATCAGGAGCAGAAGGAGACGGAGCACGAGCAAGGAACTCAGGACCACAAGGGGTGCACCCACACACTAAGACAATGGGGATGTTCTATTGGGATCTCACCAAGGCCAGCTGGCCTAGGTCTGAAAAAGCATGGGATAAATCCGGACTAGCTGAACATAGCGGACAATGAGGAATACTGAGAATTCAAGAACAATTGCAGTGGGTTTTTGATCCTACTGCACGTACTGGCTTTGTGGGAGCCTAGGCAGTTTGAATGCTCACCGTACGAGACCTGGATAGAGGTGGGCAGTCCTTGGGCTTCCCACAGGTCAGGGAACCCTGATTGCTCTTCGAGCAGATGAGGGAGGGGGACTTGATCGGGGGGAGGGGGAGGGAAATGGGAAGCGGTTGCGGGGACGAGGCAGAAATCCTTAATAAATAAATTTAAAAAAAAATAAATAAAATACATAAAAAAAAGAAATACTGAGCCTATAGTTCTTGATCCTAGAGAAGCAAAGTAATAAGGTGAAGCCTAAGAAAAACATATATAGATCCACCTGGAAAGTCGAAACAGACAAGATTGCCTGACAAAATTGGGAGTATTGGGGTCAGAAAAGAATAGAGGGTGAAAGGGGAAGAGAACAGGAGAAGGGGAGGGGTGAAGAGAACCTGAGGGAATAGGATAGTTGAGAAAGAGGAAGGACAGAAATGAAAGCGATGAGAGTAAGGAAAGCGATATCTTTATTGAGGGAGCTATTATATGGTTAGCAAGAAACTTGGCTCTAGAGAAATTCACAGAAATCTACAGGATGACCCCTCCTAAGACCCTAAGCTATAGAGGAGAGGGTGCATGAACTGGCCTTGCCCTGTAGTCAGACTAATGATTATCTTAAGTATCACTATTGAACCTTCATCCAACAACTGACAGGAACAGAGACAGAGACCCAAATCAGAGCACTGGACTGAGCTGCCCAAGTCCAGTTGAAGAGTGGAAGGAGTGAGAATATGAGCAAAGAGGTCAAGACCATGATGGCTTCACCCACTGATACAGTCTACCTGAGCTAATGGGAGCTCACAAACTCTAGCCAGACTAAAAAGTAACAAGCATAGGACCAAACTAGTCCCTCTGATTGTGGTTGATAGTTGCATGGCTGGGGAAGACTGAGGGGGCAATGGCAGTGATACCAGGATTTATCCCTACTGCATGTACTGGCTTTTAGGGAACCTGTTGTTTTTGAGTGGATACCTTGCTCAGCCTAGATATAGTAGGTAGGGCCTTGAACCTTCCCCAGAGCAATGTGCCTTACTCTCTTCCAAGGATTGGATGGGGGTGGGGTAGGAGGTTATGTGGAGGGAATGGGAGGACAGAGGGAGTGGTACTTGGATTGATATGTATGATAAATAAAAGATAGTTTTATTTTGGCATTTATGGTATGGATATGCTCATGTCAACAATGCAATTCACTCACATTCCAAAGTAGCATATCCACAGGATAACGGAGAATGAAGAGGAAGATAATTATATGCAGAGAAATGAGAAATGAGGGATGAGCACACAAAGATGTCCCACAGAAGACCAAAGCAAGATATGGGAATCTGCTGCTTGGAAGATCTCTCTTACAAACACCACACAAAGAATTATGAAATTCCAGTCATATCACAGGTATTGTACCACATCTCCAGACACTGAATATTTAGCAGAGAAATTACAACTCCTTTTAGACTCTTTATTGTCAGCATTTTGATGTGATATGGGATTCCCCTCTGTATGCTGTGAATATCATTGGTTAATAAAGGAACTGCTCTGTGCCTATAGCAGAGCTATAGGGGAACAGAGGTAGGTGGGGAAAACTAAACAGAATGCTGGGAGAAAGAAGGGTTGAGTCTGAAAGATGCCATGTAGCCCCACCGGAGACTGATGTCAGAACTTTAGCTGGTAAACCACAGCCACGTGGCCATACACGGATTAATAGAAATGGGTTAAATTAATATATAAGAGTTAGACAATAAGAAGCTAGAGCTAATGGGCCATGCAGTGATTTAATTAATACAGTTTCTGTGTGATTATTTTGGTACTAAGCGGCTGGGAACCAAAAAGCAGCTCCCTCCTCCCAACATTGATGAGGTGTAGGAAGGGGTAGCTGGGCTCTCAGGTTAGGACTCTCTGAAGGCATCATGGGCTCTCTCTGCTGTTGCAAGCATCCAGCAGTAGAACCCCGAGACCTAATAGGATGACGATAGCCAGCATGAGCAGAATGTGATTCTCAAATCTGCAATCTGATGTAGAAGATTCTGTGGAGAAAAAAGAATTTAAAGTGTTATTTCAACAATATCAATTTATTTGTGGCAGTTTTTCTCTAATAACCACTACATTTGGTCTTAGAATGAAATACATTTCTACGTAAGTTATAGAAAGACCACTTCTGCCAACTACACAGAACTGTATGGACAGCTAAGTGTTTTGGTTGGACGAAGCAGGGGCAAATTAGATTACAAAATTTAGCCACTGCATCACTTTCTACAATGTCAGACTCAAAAAATTATCATATCTCTTCATGACAAAGAACAAAAGGAAATACATGTTGAAGCTATACCAAAATCATTACAGACTATCTAGATTTGAATCAGTGCTATGATAATGTCAATCTGGCATTTCTGGTTCTAGTATATTCACTAGAACTAGAATCTGTGCTGCAACTTAAACCATTAACTACCTAGGACCCAGTTTGTATTTGCAAAGTGAAAGTTCATACTTGTGCTGATGTATCTCTTAGCTTCAATTTCACAATGCAAATAGCAATAATCTAGTTGGTTTGATCAATACTAGATGTCTCTCTGTACTTCATGCTTGGACAATGTAGTCTGACAACGCTGGCTTCCTAAACTTTCCTATCTCCATCCTGTCTCTCCACACCCTTATTTCCTCCATTTGTCCCTTTTCTATTGTGTTTGACGTTCTTTAGTTTTGATCCAATGTGTTTAACCAGAGCCATCTGTGTGATCATGAGTGCACAACTCTCCATGGACGTCTAGTAGGCTTGCGAATGGTTACACAGCCATGCCAGTGATGCCTCAATTTCCAGAAGCTGTCAGTGTGATGAGTTCATCAGGAGTGTGTCAGCAACTCTTTAGTCTTTCTCTTTAGTTGATGAGCTCAATATGAGGCAGCCTTGGTGGCAAGTGCAATTTCAGGGAGTTCATAATGGATTGGGTATCTCATGTCCACAAGGGGCAGTATATACCCCTTCTTACCATCTTTCAGCTTACTTTCTTTTCCTGACAGCCTATCACACATGACAAGAACATAAGAGCATGGGTTAAATACTAGTCAAATTTCAGGATATGCTTAAAGAAAAGCAGCACTTTGCACAATGAATATACACTAATAAAAAGTTTTATGTGCAGACAATGAACTATGGACAACTACATGAAACAGAGAGCAAGACAGGTGGTATTTTAGAGGGAAGAGCACATCAGCTGATTGTCCAGAGTCAGAGATCAACAGTGAAAGCATATACAAGTAACATTATACAGTGTTAGTGCTTATGTTTAGGCATATATATAAACAAAATAAAAATTGGTGATGATAGAGGCCATGAATTTGAAAAAGGGCAGATGTAGGAGGGTTTGGAGGGAGGAAAGGTAAGAAAGAATGTTACAATTGTATTATAATCCAGAAAAAGAATAAGTTTTGCCTGAACTTGTTGTGTGATAAATGGACATGAGAGGCAAGAAGAAAGTGGAGAGATAACTAGTGACCATGATAGTTGGAGAAAGGTGATGTTGGCAGGATGGGGGAAAAGGGAAGTGGTCTAGGGGTGTTTTTAGAAAAGGAAATATGGAATGTGGTGAAGAACCATGTGGGAGCAATGCAAAAGAGAACCAATAAATAATATATGTAAGAGGACACATGAAATCTCCTACAATCAAAACCTGAGGTCAAGAGGATGCTTGGATATTGGCCAACTAGGAGCTCTGTTGAGATGATACCAGACGTCTAAGCTGAATGATGTCAAATACTCCATTAGTTACACAACCCAGGCTCATGAAGGTGCTTTAGACTGTAGAAGTAAAATTAATGGCCCTCAGAAAATAATTTATTTGGGCAGATGTCTAATCATGTATATTGCTGTTTCTTTTTGATGCTGTAATAAAGTGCTTGATTTATCTTAGACTTCTAGGTCACACTCTGTCATTGAGGGAGACTGCTCAGAAACACAAGCAGGAACCTGAAGCTTTAACCATGTATGGATACTGTTTGCTGCCTCCCTAACACTGGGGTCTTCCTCAGCTAATGTTAACAGAGGTATTGGCAGTCATATAGGAGACTACTAAACTCATTCAATGACACAAACAAAAAAATGAATGACAGCCAGGAACAGTAATGCCTACACCTTTAATCCTAGCACTTAGGAAGCAGAGGCACACTCACCTCTGTAACTTTGAGGACAGTCTAGTCTACTTACAAAGTTCAAAAACAGCCAATACAACACAGTGAGGTCATGTCTCTAAAAAATTTTGAATGACAGAGAAAGACAGAAGATCAAGCCTCAGAGAAAAAGAAATTAACAGGCTTACACATTCTGGATAAGAGAAGTCTAATGCTGGAAGTCCCTTAAATGGACACTGACTTGAGTATTTTATAGAGCCCCTGGGTCCTCTCTTTGCCCTTCTATTCTGTTTGCCTACCCACATATGCATTCCCACCTTCTTTCTCCCAATACCTTTAGAGAATAAGAAGCAACCATGCCAGGGAGCCTTCCCTCATTTCCCTTTCTACCATTGTCCCTCTAACATACATGGACATTCTGCCACCTCCTAATAAATGGACTGAGGTGTTTGTTCCCAACTTCCCAGACCCAAAATAATCACTCAGAAACTATAGTATTTAAATCAGTGCTTGGCCTATTAGCTCTAGCTTCTTATCAGCTAGCACTTACATCTTAGTTTAACCCATTTCTTTTCATCTGTATTTCGCCACATGACTGTGGTTTACTGGCAAGGTTCCATCTGGCGTCTGTCTCTGGTGGGGCTACGTGGCTTCTTCTTACTCTGCCTTCTTTCTCCCAACATTCAGTTTAGTTCTTCCCACTCTGCTCTACACTATTACAGGCCAAGGCAGATTCTTTATTCATTAACCAGTAAAAGCAACACATATACAGAAGGACTTCCCACACCACTTAGGGCATTAGGCTGGGCTCTCACACATCAGCTAATTGTTTTTGAAAAAAACTACCACACAAACATACCTACAAGCCAATCTAATCTAGACAATTCCTTACTCGGGTATTTCCTCTCAGATGACTCAAGACTATGTCAAGTTGCACCAGCTAACTAGTGCAAACAGCAGTCACTCCTCCCCCTGATGACTGTTTACACACAAGCTCACCACACACTTTCCCATTCTTGGCTCTCTGGGACATTCATATTCAGTGTTCTGTTGTTGTATTTAGCTGCCTGACTTAGTGCAAGTAAAGTTATGTACTTGAGTAAAGGAAGCATGCTATCAGTTTTAGTTTGGCTTAAATATTTTATCCTTGGAAATTCCATATGTATATTTTTTTCAATCTGCTTTTGTTCTTTTCATACTTCATTTCCCATTCTCATCCCACACCCAGCTGCACCAAACACCTTCTTTATCCAACAAGTCCAATTCCATCCTTCACGTGTTATTTCTTTTTTCTGCCTCCTGTGTCCACCCTTTCATACTTTACCCGTAGTTCTTTGGAAATGTCTCTGTGCCCCTAGTCTCCATACTTACAAGATGTCAACTCCACTGAAACTCTGAAACATCCAAATAACTGGATGAGCTTAGGATACAGAACTGAATCTGCCCTCTTCCTACATAACCTTACAAAGTCCTGATTCAAATTCCCTTTGTTCTCTTCTGCAAATGTCTTTGTATCTTCTCCGCTAGGGTGATGGCTATTCATGTGCAGCACTGTGCTCACAAAGTATGATATAAGACAAAGATGCAAGTCTTCCTGCATAAAGAAACTAGCATAGAACCTTTCAAATTCTCTATCACTATTAACTAGCAAGGTGTATATGTGTTTCTCTGTGTGCAAGTGTATAAACTACAGTATAAACTACATTTGGGTACATGGCCAACAACTGTGTGGAATACAGTGTGGGAGGGAGAACTGTGGTTGGCATGTAAAATGAATTTTTTTAAAAAATAAATTTTAAAAGAGGAAAAGCAAAATTAACACACAAAAATTGTTTCCTACATTTTCCACTGGACTGATGACTGTTCAAAGATGGCACCATGATGTCCAAATGGTGGTGGGACAGGTAAGTGTAGTACTCGTTCCTTGTAGTGGGAGGATGCTTCTTTGTTCCCCGCTGCCCAAACCATGAAATAATCACACAGAAACTATATTATTTGCAATATAGTTTGGCCAATAGTTTAAGCGAATTTCTGACTTACTCTTATATCTTAAATTAACCCATTTCTATTAATCTGTGTATCACCACGAAGTCGTGGCCAACTGACAAATTTCAGTATGCTTCAGGACAGGATTTTGTCCCTGACAGAGGCTACATGGCTTTTTGTGACTCAACCTTCTTTTCTCCCAGCATTCAGTTTAGTTCCCTCCTCCCCACACCTAGCTCTACTCTGCACTATCACAGGCCAAGGCAGCTTCTTTATTCATTAACCAATAAAAATGACACATATACAGAAGGACTGCCCATACCAGTTCCTCAGCAAGGAAACTTCCTTATGTAAAAGATAAGACCATTAAAAAGTTACATTACATATAATATTACAAATACAACAAACCAAGATGCAGAGTTGTGGCGCTCAGTCACAATGGCTACATCTACAAAACAACTAGTGAATTGTGAAAGAAGGGAAAGAAAGATTGTAGGAGCCAATGGATCAGGGAGTTTGTTGTGAGATTGTGTCTCCTACTAATATCAGAAGCAATACCCATAAAGTTTCCCCAACATGGCAACGTAAACATGAGCTGGACAAGGACAACAAGATAGACATGCCATAGTGGATGGGAGAAAGCCCATGAGGCCTCAGTCTACATAAATGACTATAAAGAACCTGGAATTCTGAGAGTGGAGAAATGGAATTCCCCAGGGAAGAGAACACGAATTGGTTATTCAATATCAAATGCTCATCTCTATAAACATACATATAATAACATTATACAGACTAAGCGGGTTATGCAAAAATATATTCATGTATATGCATATACACTGATGTACATATAATTAATGTAAAAATAAGCCATGGATTTGAAAGAGAACAAGGAAGGGTCCATGGGAAATTCTAGGGAGAAGGAAAGGAGGGGAGAAAATGATGTATTATAATCAAAAAAAGCAAAAAAAAAATTCATCATCTCCTGAGATCTAAAAAAAACTATCATCAGGACGGGCGGTGGTGGTGCACACCTTTAACCCCAGCACTCGGGAGGCAGAGGCAGGCTAATCTCTGTGAGTTCGAGTCCAGCCTGTTCAAGAAGAGCTAGTTCCAGGACAGGAACCAAAAGCTACGGAGAAACCCTGTCTCGAAAAAAAAAAAAAAAACTACCATCAATCTCATGGAGAAACTAGCAGATACTCTTTCTATTTTTCTGTCACCATTGGCTAGTGATGTACTTGTCACACATATAACTCAGAAAGGAACATTCTGAAAGATGACTCTCATTATGAACAGATGAGGACATCTATTTCCCAGACGAATATGTCCCCAAAATAATATAATCAACACATAATGCTCAGAGCCCATAACACAAATAGAGCAATTTCAGTCAGAAGAGCAGGGCAGTGTGCAGCATGTGCCACACAGAAGACATAAAGTGGAATTGATACATCCCACAAGGAATCCCTTGAGACCTCCTGTCTAAGAACAGAGATAAGAAACAAAAACCAGACATACTTACGTGGAATTGAAAACTCAAGCAGATCACTAGGCAGTGACCACAAGTAGGAAGCTTGTTTGTGAGAGCCAAAGCATCTGTAAGTCGTCTTGTTCCCAGGGCTCACAGGGGAGATGAGGAATGTGCTGTGGTCCTGACGTGAGCAGCTCTGGGGAAAGGAGGCACTTCCACCTCTGCAGAGGATGAAGATGTCAAAGGAAGGATGCGTGTGACAGAGGAGAGTCATATTTCTTTCTGAGATTTCCTGAGGTCCTGAATCAGCACTAAGGAATGACTTCTCATTGTAAACACCTGGAAATGGAAAAATATTAGCTGGTCTTTGTGACATGGTCGTTTAATCCTAGCACTCAGGAGGCAGAGGCAGGTGGATCATTCTGAGTTTCAAAACAACCTGCTTGTCTCCAGCTAAGGCTCCTAGTAATAGTGGAAAGGGTGATTGAACAGGCCATCTACTGTAATCAGATTGGTGACTACCCTAATTGTCATCAGAGAGCCTTCACCCAGTAACAGACGGAGGCACAAGCAGAGATCCACAGCCAAGCCCTGAACTGAGCCCTGGGAGTCCTCCTGAAGAAAGGGAGGAGTGATTTTTGAGCCATGGGATCAGGGTCCTGATAGGGGAACCTATAGAGACAGTTGAACTGAGCTCATGGGAGCTCATGGACTCTGGAGCCTGTGTAGGACTGACCTAGGGCCCTCTGCATGTGTGTACTTTGATCTATTGCAAGACTCTTGGCAGTGAGATCAGGACCTGTTCCTAGCACTTAGCTGGCTTTTGGAACCTGTTCCATGCTGGATTACCTAGTCCAGCCTTAATGCAGAGGGAGGAGCTTGGTCCTACCTCAACTTGATGTGTCATGCATACTTTGTTCAAGAACATGGGAGGCCTGTCCCTTTCTGAATAGAGATGGGGAAGTTGATGGAGGGGTGCGTAAAGGGGAGCCTGTGGAAGGGAAAGGATGAGAGGAAGGAGGGAAAACTGTGGTTGGTATTTAAAAGAAACAAGAAAACTGTTAGATAATAAAAAAAATTAAAAAAAAGAATGAGGGACCAGGCTCAGTAAATAAATAAATAAATAAAAACAATCTGCTCAATATTGAGGTTTCAAGAAGAGCCAGAATTACAGGATGAGACCCTATGTCAAAAAATTTATAAAAAGACTCTTGTCTTAGTTACGGCTTATATTGCTGCTATGAAACAACATGACCAAAAGTAAGTTGGGGAGGGAAGGTTTTATTTGGCCTACACTCCAGCATTGCTGTTCTTCATTGAAAAAAGTGATGAGAGGAACTGAAACAGGGCAGGAGGCTAGGGGCAGGAGTTGATACGGAGGTCATGAAGGGGTGCTTCTTACTGACTTGTTTCCATGTCTTGCTCAGCCTGCTTTCTTACAAAAGTCAGGGCTACCAGCCCAGTTATGGCACAACCCATCATGGGCTCGGCTCTCCACTGTTGATCACTACTTGAGAAAATGCCTTAGAACTTGTTCTTATGGAGGCATTACCTCAGTATGTCTACTTCCTCTCTGATGACTTAGCTTCTGTAAAGTTGATACAAAACTAGCCAGTACAATGCTGTTGTTTTAAACATGATGAAATATAAGCCTACAATTCAGAGTCTGACCAGAGGGAAGAAAAGATGAAGACAAAAGGGAACTCATTCAATGTTAATCAACAAGGATCACAAAATGTGTTTGGATTATTTTCCATAAACCAGGACCATAGAGAGGCTCTATGTATGTACAAAAGGCTGCTGTCAGTTCCCATGAACTCCATCCTTTAGGGGCTATAGTCACCATTCTGAAGGAAGCCTATAACATGGTCAGCACAGAGGGAGGGTCACAAACCAAAACAGAGGGTCTAGGGTCGAATCTTGATTGGTTGAGTTCTTGCCTAATATATACACTGTGCCCAGTGTTCTGTGACCATCACCACATGAATGGTGTTATTGTCAATGTCTCTAATGACAGTGCTAAGAGAGTAGCAGCAAAGGGACCAGAAGATCAAAATGATGTTTGAACTCAAAGCAAGTTTAAGGCCAGTCTGAGATATGTAAGAATCTGTTTCAAAAACTATTATTAGGAAAAATGGAAATTGAAAAGGAAAGGATGGAAAGAGGAGAGGAGAAAAGAGAGGAGAGGAGTAGCAAAGAGAAGAGAGGGAAGGGAGGGGAAGGGAAAGGAAGGGAATGAAGAGATCATTATATGGAGCAGAGATTCAGGGCAGTGCTCATGATGGGGCATACGTGGTTCAGTGAGGTAGGCTTCCTGGACTAAATCTGAAGAAGTGTCCTTGAGCAGTTACTCACCTGTTATCACCAGTTCCAGATTGTTACTATTTCGTGACCATTGACTTCCATTAAAGTATGCACAGAAGTAAACCCCAGCATTACTCTGTGTTATATTCTTCAGACTGAGTTCAAACACCTCCTGGGCTCCCTGTGGGGTACCATCATACCACACAGTACTGGGTGCAAGACAGGCTAGACGCACAGTGGTCACTCCTGGAAGGGTCCTGCAGAAGATGGTCACATCACTGCCTGTGGAAACCACAACTCCTGGACTGACCCAGATGGAAGGCTGGGGTGGTGACCCTGGAGAGACACAGGAACAAGCACCAGTCAACTGATGTCAGGAGGTCCAGCTTTCCAAGGAGCTATAGAGTGGCTCCCACAACAACAACTACTAATCAAGAAAATGCCCCACAGACATGCTTACACACTAGTAGAGTGGAAGCAGTTCCTCACTGATGTTCCTTCTTTCCAGATGACTCTAGCTTATGTCATGTTGAAAGAAAACTAACCAGCACACCTCCAAAGTGAAGTCTCATTATTTTCAGAAATAAGCATCTGGTATATTTCAAAAGGCCTAATTATCTTTTCTGTTCCCAAACAATGGAAGAGTAAATCTTATACCTTAGTGCTATCAGGGGCTTCTCTCCTTGTCTCCTACAAGCTCAGTAATGAACCCTGTGGGTTGTCATTCTAATCACCAAACCTTCCCACTTTCCTGGGTAAGGTAAAATTCCATTAAATCACTGACCTATGTCTTACTTTGTCTCTTGCCTCCACAGAACACCCAACCTCTACGCCGAACTCCAATATCACATGAAGCCTGGGAGCCTCTGAAAATAAATGGATCCACGTTTACCACCCCAATTCTCAGAAGCAGTTGACTCACAAACCCCATTCAAGTGCCCCATAATAGGACCTTCTGAAAGAGGCAGAGCTATCTGTGCCACCAGCATGAACCAGGAAGCTCTTTCTTAAAGGAACCATGCAGCTTTTCCTGCTAATGTTGAGTCAGGAAGCCTTCTCTTAAAGGTGCCACACCTCTGCTCGCCACCAACAAACAGCCTATCTAAAAACATACAGCTGCCAAGAAGCCCCAATTGACTCCCACTTTTGTGTCTAGAAGCCCTTTTTTATTATTCAAGCTTTCTTAGGCCCTGTGTGGATATTCTTGCCAAAAGTTGGGGTGCCATTTGTAAACTGAGACTGCATTTTCATTTTCTGGCTGCCCAGAAACTATATTAATTACAATATTATTCGACCAATGGTTCAGGCATATTACTAGCTAGTGCTTACATCTTAAATTAACCCATTTATATTGACCTATATATCACCATGAGGCTGTGGCTTACTGGTAAGATACCAGCATTTTCTCCTTCTGTAGCTACATAGTATCTGCTTGATTCCATCTCCTTTCATCCTCTATCTCTGCTTGGATTTTCCAAATTTCTTTATTCTGCCCTGCTGTATTGGGAAATAACAAGGCTACCTAGAAGATACAACAATTATATTTTCATTCATTATAAGGGAAATCTCACAAAAACAGGAACGAGAAGGCCAAGCTAAGCTGTACCACAAGGGAACACACAGAGAGCACACTTGGGCCTGTACCGTTTTTTCTCATGGTCTTAGCAAGCCACACCCTAAGTTGGTCCCAAATCTTAAAGATAATTGGTTAACAAAGCTTTCCCAACACCATGCCATAGGCCAAAGCAGCTTCTCAATTAACCAATGGCAATAAAACATAGTCACAGTATACAGAGGGGAATCCCACATCAGAATTCCATCTGTGCCATACACACATTAGACAGCATTCACTTCAACTCTGTCTTGTGGATGAAGCATCTTCCCAAGGGCAAAACTCAGTATGAGAGTCAGACACAGCCCCAGAGAGAGGAGGAAAAAGAAAAAATTGAAAATCAAATGTCTGCAGCTTCAGGAGGAAACATGTGTGTGCAGGTGTCCCCTCCTCTGTGACATTTGTTCCAATATCCTTCAGAGACACATATCTTGCAGGCTTTACTGGAGCACAGTTGAGAATCCCCACCCCAAAGATGGCTCCAATAGTAAGGACTGATCATTAAGTAACTGTGCCTATGGCTTATCAGAGGCCTTGAGTACCAGCCTCAGTACCCCCTCAGGGCTCAGAGTTGATGTCTATGGCAGACAAGAATCTGAGGGTAAAAAATTAACTCAACTACGTTACCTCCGCATGTTCTTTATTTTTCATACAAGGGGAGAAAGTAAAGTGAAAGAGCATGGAGAAGAAGGAAGAGGAAAAGAAGATAGGAGGAAGAGGAGGAGGAGGAGGAGGACAAAGGAGAAGAGGAGGAGGAGATAGAAGAGAAGGAGGAGGAGAAGGACAGTAAGGGAAAGAAGTAGTGAAGAAAAAAGAAGAAAGAGAAGAATAAAAGCTGTTCTCTACTAGGTTTCTAGTTTTTACAGACATAGTTGAAAATTTCCATAGGCAAGGACAATGATAATATGCATATCAAAATCATTTTTTTTAAAAAAAAAAAAAGGCATGTAGAACCAGACAAAGCAGTACTCCAAAACAGGTGACACCACCCAGGAAAAAGCCAGCACTCAAGGGGAAGTAGTACCTGACATCCCAAACCATTAGATAAAGTTACTAAACAACCATGAATCCTGACTTCACCCATTCTCCTCATCTAATCTCTTTTGTGATAACTAGCTTTGGAGACACCCAGATTTGTTGGTTAGCAAAGTGGGGCATGCCGCCTTCTTGCTCAGTGCCTGTCTTCTATGGAAATTTCTACATGGTCTGTTAGCAGGTAACCTCGTATATAAATTTGACATCTAGAACAAAGAGTGAATGCCACCCCTCCAAGGCATCCTGGTGTGGGGGAATGGCCATGCAGAGATTACACTGCTGATGTGTTCTAGGAATGAATCCCATTTCGAAGGGAAGAATCATGGGTTTACAAGGGTTGCACAGATATGCCAGCAACTTTTCCAAAAGACAAGTATTCCCACAGCTCTGTGAAACGGGTTATTCCATGTGGACGTGTATATATACTGTTTCGGTGGATCTGCCTATTGGTCTGTCAGCTGTGCATTCACTGTATAGTCTTGTGGGCTCCAACAGTGGCTGCCAATGAAAATTCCTTCTCAGGATCTGCATAAGATGCTTCAAGATCCTCCCATGCTACTCTGAGCCAAACTCAGTTTCCCATGGCTAAAATAGAGAACAGACTCACCATGCTGTGCCCAGATCTTCTGAACCATTAAAAACACTGCAAATAGAGCAAAAGACCTGATAAGACAAGTTTATCCTGGTATACAATGATCCCAACCCCAGAGCTCAGCTCAAAACTCCAAGGCCAGATGGACAGGTTGAGGCCAGGGAAGACTCCTCTGCAGTCACCAGGCCAAGTCTTCATAGAGAAAGTTCTATGAGAGGAGCCAAGGTTATAAATCTGGGATTCTTTTTTTAATTAATTTATTTATTTATTAAAGATTTCTGTCTCTTCCCCGCCACCACTTCCCATTTCCCTCCCCCTCCCCCAATTAAGTCCCCCCCCCACTCAGCCCGAAAAGCAATCAGGGTTCCCTGTCCTGTGGGAAGCTGGACCCATTACCACTTTGGCTAAAAAGAATGAACCTTGTCACACTTACCAAGTCCAAGAAGAGCAGCTCCAAGGACCATGGCAGTGTCTCATGCCAGATTTTCACAGAAACAGAATACAGAACTTGTGACATAGTTCACACTGTGGGACATACCCATGGGACAGAGCAGGCTAAAGGCCAGAATGATGACATCCAATGCAAAAGAGGAAGAGGATGTTCTTGCACAAGACCTGTCCCTGGCACCCTTCTACCCACAGCTCTAGGCTGGGAAACTGTTCCTCTATGCACTTACTATTCTGGCTTTTAATTCTCAAAGATAGAATTTAAAGGGCTAGGGGCAATGCTGTTCTCTGGTATCCCCATATGTGATGTAGGAGACTTATGGCCAATGCTTCAGAAAACGGTGAGATGCAGCCAGAAATCAATGAGCACAAATTCATAATCTACAGAACAGTTAGACTCTTCTTGATGGGACACTAAATCTGACAACCTAGATGGGAGGGGATGCCAGTGAAGATGCTGGGGACCAATGCTTCTGTAGTATGTGGATGCTCTCAGTCAATTTCCCTAATTATCAAACTGCATAACCAAAAACCTTCAAATGAGCGACAATAGAAAAAATCATTTAAAAGCAGGTTATAGAATAAACAGAGTTCTCAGAAGAAATCCAAGTGGCTAACATCATTGGTTGCTTTCTTATTCTTTTGCTCTTTGGAGGCTCACCACCCAGCTTCCAAATACATCGCAAGGAGGTTTATTCTTTTTTTGAATGAATACCCAGTCTTATCTTGACTTGTTTCTATCCAGCTTTTCTTTTTAATTATTTCATTTAAATAACTTTTTATTTATTTTATATACCAACTAGTTTCCCCTCCCGCCCTTCTTCCCAGTGTCTCCCACTTCCTGTCTACCTCCTCCCCTTCCAAGCCTCCCCTGTCTTCATTCAGAAAGAGACAGGGCTCCCATGGGCTTGAACAAAGCATGGAATGTCAAGTTGAGGCAGGACCAAGATCCTCCCCTTATGTCATGGTGGGGCCAGACAATCCAGCATGAAAAAAGGGTTCCCAAAAGCCAGCTAAGTGCTAGGAAGAAGTTCTGGTCTCACTCCTAAGAACTTTACAAACAGACCAAACTACACAACTGTCACACACATGCAGAGAGCTTACATCAGTCCCATGCAAGCTTCCTAACTGTTGATCCAGAGTCCATGAGCTCCCATGAGCTCAGGTCCAGTGTCTCTGTGGGTTCCCCTGTCATGACACCGCTGGTTCATACAATCACTCCTCAGTTTCTTCAGCAAGAATCCCTGAGCTCAATCCAATGCTTGACTGTAGATCTCTGCATCTGCTTCCATCAGTTACTGGATAGAGTATCTCTGATGACAGTATAGGGTGTTTACCAATCTAATTACAGGAAATGGCCAGTTAAGGCACCCTCTGAGCTATTTAGCTAGCTTTTTTTAACTTACATTATCCTGTCTGTCTTTTGCCTCTGGGCTTTTACCTTTCTCTATTTGGGTATACCTTGTCTTTCCTTCTTCCATGTATAGCTGGATGTCTGGCCCCTTCTTTCTTACTCTTCAATTTTCTTTTCTCTCTTATTCTCCTTCTATCTATTCTCTGTCTGCCAGCCCCATGTATCCTTTCCCCTGCCTTGCTATTGGCTATTTAGCTTTTTATTAGCCCCATCAAGTGTTTTAGACAAGCAAAATAAAACAATTTCAGTGAGTTAAATAAATGCAGCATAAAAAAAATTACAAAACATCTTGCATCATTAAACAAATGTTTATAGCATAAACAAAAGTAACACAACTTAAAATAATTTTCTATTGTAGGATAAAAATATGTTCAACTTTAGGTATCACAGAAATTAAAATTAAAATTACTTTGGAATTTCATCTTACTCTAGTCATAATGACTAATTGAGAAAACAAAACAATTCCCTGGAAACACATTGGGAATAACAGAACAAGGTAACAGCCACCAACTCTAGCAGACAGTGCCAAGCTAACCCACAGGCCATACATGCCAGAAAATCAGGTAGGCTGCCAGTGCATATTCAATTCTCTCTCTATTCCCCATTTCCAGTCTCTTAGTCTCATCCCCAGCATTACAACAAAACACACTTGGCAGCCCCCTTCACATCTCTCATGGATCCCAGAGATCTTGCCACTTTTAACAATCCTCCTATCACTCATTGCTTTGTCCCAGACCCCAACTTAAAAGTTGCTACCTCCTACTAACCCAAATGCATCTCCTACAAGTGCAACAAGTAGTCTGGAGACAGACCCACACATCTCCCACTACCACTGAGATCCTACCCCCACCCAAGTTTTACCCAAGCCCAGTCTCCCTTCCCTATCTGACCTATGGGATCACAAAGACTTTGTCCACCAACCTTCCTTTCCAAAACTTATTCCACTATTACAGCCTTCAAGTATTCCCTGTGAAGAAACCAGCTAAGCAGACCAGGAAAAGAGGCAACACATACCATCACACTCTCCAAAAAATACAGAAGTGTAATAGAAACCAAGAAACAATACACACACCCAATAAAGACAAACCCAGCAATCAACACATAGATCTAGAATCATCCCAAACCCAGATGCCTACACACCAGTGTAAAAGTACAATTAACAACAGCCAGGGCAATATATCCCCCACTAGATTCCATTGATCAGTAGGCTCTGAATATCCAACAAGGCTAAAGCACAAGAAAAGATCTTTATGAAAACAACTTTATGAAGATGATAGAAGTCTTTAATGAGGAAATGAAAAATCCATTAAAAGTGAAGAAGACACAAATATATAATGTATAGAGGTAACCAGGGTCATGGGTTCAAGCCCCATGTTGGGTGCCAGTCACACTAGTTAGCCATAGAGGCTAGTGGTGCATACTTTTCATCCAAGCACTAGAGAGGAATATAAGGTAGGATGAGATAGGAACTCACCCTCTTTCAGTCTGAAAATTTCATAGAAATAAGAACTCTCTAGTGGCTTGAGAGATTTGGTTGTCTAATCTTCAGGTTGAGCCCCAATATCTGTCTCTGTATTTTAATCAATAGTGTTACAAAACACCAAAAATGTAACTTCTTGGCACCTCATTGGACATTCTCAAAAAATTGAGTACATATTCAGGCACAACACAAATTTCAACAGATAAGAAAAAATAGAAATAAGCCCCTCCATCCTATCAGACCACCAGAAATTAAAGTTGGATATCAAAAATAACAGAAACAACAGAAAGCTGACAAACTCATGAAAACTGGAAAACCATCTATTGAAGGGAAAATGGCTCAAGACAGAAATAAATAAAGTCTTTCCAGAATTCAATGAAAATGAATACACAGAAAACCCAAACTTATGACAAAATTAAAGCAATGCTAATATCCTTCCAAGAAACATGAGTTTTTTGGACTGCAGGAATGTTAATCTGAATATTTCATTGTTGCAATAAGTCATGACCCCATAAACATGTTGTATGGAAAGGCCACAATTTTTGAGCTGTAGGGATTTTAAGCTTAATAATAAGAGAGACCTAGAGGGGTGATCTGCCCTGTGGCTAAGCTGCCATGCCACAAGCTGCAGAGGGGAGCAAAAGGCTGGAATTGAAAGCAGCTGCCTTGTGGATCTGACCAATCTTGTTGGCAGCAGTAGCAGAAGCAGGGACAGTTTGAGGAAACTCCTTCCATTTGCCTGTTGCACTGACAGTAATAAGAAAGCTCCCATAAAAATGGAGCTGGCAGAACATCAGTGAAGTGAGGGTAGAAGCTGAAGAAGTAGACCATTAAGGCCTGGGGGTTTAATATGGCCTCTAAAATGCATCCATCTCAGGGGGAATTGACATGGATGGCTTGCTACCCATAGCTGAAACCATGGGGAAAAAAAAACAGCAACACCACAAGGCCTATAATGGGACGTCTTCCACTATAGGTGGGGTGTAAAGCAGCACGAACACCACAGCACCCATAGGAAAGCATCCTCTGCCCCCAGGTGGGGTACAACATCCTGACTGGATTTGGTCAGGGTGACTCAGAAGGCAGAGAGGCCAGAAGCCACTCCAAATGGCCATACACAGTGGGGTGGGGGAGAAAGAAAAATCTGAGGGACCCTGGGCCCCCAGTTGAATGTACTGCACCGTGTATGCAGTGCTAGCATGGAAGGACTGACCCTGGGTCAGTCTGGTCATGATTTTAACTAAGGAGAGCAATCCAGAGATGAATGTCAGCAAAGGGATCAACCGTCCGTAGTTGGGGGCTGCCTCCCTGTTTCTAGGAACACCAGAATATTGCTGGAAGCTCACTGGTCAATTCCTCGGGTTTGAAGATATTGTTAAGCTGACCAGAATCGAGGAAACTCACCAACTGAAGCTGGTGGTGTGCATAGAAATCACGTGTAGAAATTGTGCTCAGGTATATGGAACACGTGGCTGTTGTGGAAAAATACCGAGTTCTGGATCCCAACTCCAGGAGTGGGGAAAGGGGTGGGAGAGCCATCTGAGTCCTGCAACCAATGTACTGAGTTAAATAAAATGCTATGGATCCCCAAGTGGCTGCAGGAGCAGAAATGCTGCAGGTCCCCAAATGGCAGCACTGGGCATTGGGTCCAAGAGCAGCCAGTCCCAGGCAGGGACAGCACACAAAACTATGCCACAGGTCTTTGAAGGTGGTCCTGGGCAAGGAACCACAAGGCAGGTGAGAGACAGACGGATAGGCACACCATGCAGGGTGAGGTTGGATATTTATTTAGGAGATTGTGGTAGGGAAGGGGAGGAGAGAGAAGAGCAGAGAGAGAGAGACAGAGAAGGGAGAGAAGGGAGAGATGGAAATTGCCTCTTCCAGAGGGAAATGGAAAAGGAAGGGACTCAGGCCTCAGCAGATGGGGGAGGGAGTAGGCATGGCTTGTCTCTTAAAGAGACAGAACAGATCATTACATAACCCAAGCTCAGAAAGAAAAGCATGGTATGTACTCACTTTTAAGTGGATAATGCACGGTGATGGTTGTGCACGCTTTTAATCCCAGCACTTGGGAGGCAGAGGCAGGCTTATCTCTGAGTTTGAGGCCAGCCTGGTCTAAAAAGTTAGTTCCAGGACAGGGAAGGCTATACAAAGATATCCTGTCTCAAAAAAAATGAATATTAGGTGTAAAGGATAAGCTGGTTACAATCTTCAGCCTCAGGGAAACTAGGGAAAAAAGAGGGACAAATGGGTTTCCCTGGGAAGGGGAAATAGAAAAGATCTTCTGGGTAAATTGGGGGGAAGAGGAATGAGAGCAGTGGGTATGGGGAGGATGGGAACATGAGGAATTGGGGTGATCTAGTTGGGGGTGAGACGGAGGGGGAGAGTCATGAAAGAGATGTCTTGATGTGGAAGGGGAATTTCAGGGTTAGGGAGAATGATGCCAGGGGAATTCCTAGGAATCCACAAGGATAACCCCAAATAATATGGCTAACAATAATGGAGAGGGTGCCTGAACTGGGCATCTCCTCTAGTTAGAATGGTGACTACCCAAATTGTCATCAGAAAGTTTTTATCTAGTAACTGATGGAAGAACTGATGGCAGAGATCCATTGCCAAGAATTTGGCACAGCTTCTAGTGTTTTGTTGAAGAGGGGGAGAAGGGTTGTACCAGCTAGTGGGCTCAAGGTCATGACAGAGTAACCCACACAGATGGCTGATCTGAGCTTATGGGAGTACAGGAACTCTAGACCAACAGCTAGGAAACCAGCGTGGGAGCAGTCTATGCCCTCTGTGTATGTGTGACAGTTGTGTAGATTAGTCTATTTGTGAGGATCCCACCAGTGGGACCAGGACATATCCCTGGAGATTCAGCTGGTTTTTAGGATCCTATTCCCCATGCTGAGCTGCCTTTCCCACTCTTGATGCAGGGGGAAGAGCTTGATCCTCCCTCAAATCGATGTGCCATGCTTTGCTGACACCCATAGGAGGCCTGCCTCTTTATGAATAGAGACTGAAGCAGAGTGTATGGGGGTATAGGGGGAGGTGGAGAGGACAAGGGGAGAGTGATGTGGTATTCCCCTCTGTGTGCCATGAATACTATTGCTTAATAAAGAAACCACCTTGGCTTGTGATAGGGTTAAGTACAATCAGGTGGGGAAAACTAAACTCAATGCTGGGAGAAAGAAGGCAGAGCCAGTGAGACACCATGAAGCCCACAGAGAGGAAAAATGTGAGGTGCCAGATGTAACCTTGTCAATAGGCCACAAGCCTCGTGGTAAAATATAAAATCATGAAAATGGATTAATTCTAAAGGTAAGAGCTAGCTAATAGTACATTTAAATAATTGGCCAATCAGTGATTTAAGTAATATAGTTTCTGTGTGATTATTTAGGATCTGGGAAGTTGGGAACAAATAAGCAGTCTCCATACAATAAGGAGAGAGCAAGGGGAGACTTTGGTTGGGATGTAAAATAAATTAATAAAATTAGTTAATAATTGTTTTAAAGAGTCTGAAGTTTTAGACATTTTCAACCTTCAAAGCCTGCACAAAATTCTCCAAAGGCATAGGAACTCCCTAGCACACAGTGAGGAGCACTGACAGTGAAGGGAAAGATGCTGGGGAGAGGTGATCACAGTGTTGAGTTGTGGCAGTGAAAAGCAGCTGTGATGACCAGGTGCACAAAAGCAGCTGTGATGGCCATGTCCACAAAAGCAGCTGTGATGGCCATGTGCACAAAAGCAGCTGTGATGGCCATGTACACAAAAGCAGCAGTGATGGCCATGTGCACAAAAGCAGCTGTGATGGCCATGTGCACAGAAGCAGCTGTGATGGCCATGTGCACAAAAGCAGCTGTGATGGCCATGTGCACAGAAGCAGCTGTGATGGCCAGGTGCACAAAAGCAGCAGTGATGGCCATGTGCACAAAAGCAGCTGTGATGGTCATGTGCACAGAAGCAGCAGTGATGGCCATGTGCACAGAAGCAGCAGTGATGGCCATGTGCACAAAAGCAGCTGTGATGGCCATGTGCACAGAAGCAGCTGTGATGGCCATGTGCACAAAAGCAGCAGTGATGGCCATGTGCACAGAAGCAGCTGTGATGGCCATGTGCACAGAAGAAGCAGTGATGGCCATGTGCACAAAAGCAGCAGTGATGGCCATGTGCACAAAAGCAGCTGTGATGGCCATGTGCACAGAAGCAGCTGTGATGGCCATGTGCACAAAAGCAGCAGTGATGGCCATGTGCACAGAAGCAGCTGTGATGGCCATGTGCACAGAAGAAGCAGTGATGGCCATGTGCACAAAAGCAGCAGTGATGGCCATGTGCACAAAAGCAGCTGTGATGGCCATGTGCACAGAAGCAGCTGTGATGGCCATGTGCACAAAAGCAGCTGTGATGGCCATGTGCACAAAAGCAGCTGTGATGGCCAGGTGCACAGAAGCAGCTGTGATGGCCAGGTGCACAGAAGCAGCTGTGATGGCCAGGTGCACAGAAGCAGCTGTGATGGCCAGGAGCACAGAAGCAGCTGTGATGGCCAGGTGCACAGAAGCAGCTGTGATGGCCAGGTGCACAGAAGCAGCTGTGATGGCCATGTGTACAAATGCCAAGTCAAGGGAATGAAGCATGCAGGTTTGAATAAGGATGGTCCCCATAGGCTCATAGGTTTGAAAGCTTGGTCCCCAGGACGGGACACTATCTGAAAGGATAAGGAACTATGGGGTAAGCTTTGAGATTTCAAAAGCCTATGCAAGTCAAAAATCTCCCGCTCTGCACATGGATGAGGCTGTAGTTCTCAGCTACTGCTCCAATGTCTCCCTGTGTACCGCCATACTTCTATGCCATGATGACAATGGACTAAACCTCTGATACTCTAATTAAGCCCCAATTAAATTTTTCCTTCAAAAGAGTTCCTTTGGTCATGGGGAAACTTCACAGCAATAAATAGTGACTAAGACAGATCTCTATACACTATGGGATTTTACTCAGCTGTAAAGAAAATGGCAATTTGCACGTATGCAGGCGGAGGTGGAAATCATTATACTAAGTGAATTAATCCAGACCTAAAATGACAAATGTTGCATGTTCTCACTTATTTGTGTATCTCAATGTGGTGTATTTACATGTGCTGCTGTATTTAATTTGACGTACCTGCTGAAGTATCCAGAGAAATAGAACGGGACCGTCAGTATGGTGAAAAAAACAATACTAAAGGAGGTGGCAGAGCACAACACAGATGATGGTGAAGGGAAATACAGAAAATGGGGAGGGGGAGTTGATCAGTAAGAGGATTGAGAACATAGGGCAGAAGGAAAGTACAGAATGTTTAGCTTTTAAAAAGATGTTTGAGCCAGGCAGTGGTGGCACATGCCTTTAATCCCAGCAGATCTCTGTGAGTTCAAAGCCAACCTGGTCTCCAAGATCTAGATCCAGAAAAGACCCCAAAGCTACAGAGAAACTCTGTCTTAAAAAAAAAGAATGTTTGAAAAAGCCATTAGAAATCCATAAAATTGATAAGCTTCCTAAATATTTCATGTATATATAGATGTATGTGTATACACATATACATATATCCATATAAAAGTATGTAACTGGGGTTAAGGGAATTAGTCTCCTCTAGTAGGAATTATATGAAATCAAAAGTCACTGTATGATTCTCAAAGATCTTAGAAGAGGGAGAAAAAGAAATGATGACAAAGTGTAAAAACTAAGATATCAGTGTGGGTAGAAAGAAAAAGAGCTAGAGGAGCGAGAAAGTACAGGAAAGCACTAGAAAAGTGATGAGTATAAAGTCTAATGCCACAAATGTAATAAAATATCTCAATTAATACAATTGCTGCTCAAAAGATAAATCTAAGAAAGAAGTGCTGTTCTTGACAAGAAAACTCACACTGAAGGATGGATGCTGCTCACAGGGTCAAAGGTGAAGGAGCGTAGTGAGAGAACAAGACAGAGTGGGGAACTCCTAGCATGAGCTGGGGTAGAGATGCAACATAAGCAGTTAATTTTAAGAATCTGGCTTGAGGGGAAAGACATCAAGAAAGAAGACTCAAGTGAAAGAAGTAAGGCTGGGGTCATGTGGACAGTAAGTACTCTCTCTTATGGAGATGCACAAGCAAATTGGGAACTCATTGAGCTGCTGATGTTATATATGTCAGGAATGGGGAGATAGGTTAGCTCCCATCATAGGGCTTCTCCATAGGAGAACGTCTAAGGCTTCAGTCAGCATGGATGAAGAAGCTGCAAATGGCACTTACTACACTCACTATCAATATCTACATAAGGACCAGGGGAAGGATTTGGCATTCCCAAGTGTCTAGGGGCGGGGGGTTGGAATCCATGACATGGATATGCTCATGTCAACAATGCAATTCACTCACGTTCCAAAGTAGCATGTCCACAGGATAGCAGGGAACAAAGAAGAAGAAGTCAATCATATGAAGAGAAATAAGAAATGAGGGATGGGAACTACACAGATATGCCCCACAGGAAATAGAAGAGAAAAACAGTCATCTGACACTTGGGCCAGCTCACCTTCAAAAACCACACAAAAAAATTCTGAAATTCCAGTCACATCACAAGATTTGTGCCACATCTCCAGACATTGAATACACAGCAGAGAGATCCAACTCCTCTTAGACTCTTTATTGCCAGCATTTTGATGAGGTGTAGGAAGGTGTAGCTAGGCTTTCAGGTTAGGACTCTGAAGACCTCATGGGCTCTCTCTGCTGCTCCAAGCATCCAGCAATAGAGACCCAAGACCTAACAGGATGATGATAGCCAGGATGAGCCGGATATAATTCTCTAATCTGTAATTTGACACTGTGGAGAAAAAAAATATTTAAAAATTTTATGTCAATTGTATCAATTTATTTGTTCATGTTTTTTCTCTAATGAAAACTACATTTGGTCTTAGAATACATCTCTACATGAGTTAGAAAGACCCCTTCTGCCAAACACACAGACAACTAAGGAGGGGCTTTTTGGTTGGATGATCTTGAGGCAGATAGATTACAAAACTCAGCGACTGCAATTTCTACAATGTCAGAATCAGGCAAGGATCATATTTCTTCGCAGCAAAGCAATAAAAGACATGCATGTTGAACCTGTACCAAAATCATTACAGTCTATCTAAAGAGGATTGGTGCTGATTGCTAGGATACAGTTGCCATGGCTTTTTGGTTCTGGTATATTCACTAGAATCTGTGATACCGCTCTTCTCATTAACTACTTAGGACACAGATTGTATTTACAAAGTTAAAACTCATACTTGCACTACAGTTCTTAGAGAACACATCTGTGCCCCTAGTCTCCATACCCAAATGTCCCCTCCACTGAAACTCTGAAACATACCAACTCACTGGATAAGCTAAGGATAGAGATCTGAATCTTATCCATCATGGAGTCTGGATCTCTTCTCTCCCTATATAACCCTACAATTCCTGATTAAAATTCCTCTTGTTCTCTTCAGCAAATATCTTTATACCTTCTCCGCTACTGTGATGGCTATTCATATGTAACACTGAGCTCATAAAATGAGATATAAGACAAAGATTCAAATCTTCTAGAATGAGTAAATAACATAGGCACTCTCAAATTCTCTATCACTATTAGCTAGCAAGAGGTGTGTGTGTTTCTGTGTGTTCAAGTGTACACACACTACAGTAGGTGACACAGTCAGGAACTGGGTAGAATACTACACATCATGATGTGTAATGATGTCTCTTCTACAAAAGGACATACCTGCATATGCCCTAATTTCACATAATTAACAGATAACCTTCAGATTCCAGAATACAGATGACATGATTCCAGACAGGAGAGTGGTGCACTCTGCAACATTCAACACACTGAAACACAGTGGAATTGCTGCATCCCACTTGACTGACATATCTTGAGAACTCTCTGAGTGCAGATATAAAAGGTTACTGTATGGCATGAGAATCTCAAGCGCTGAAGATACAATAGAAGAAATAGACTCTTCAGTCAAAGGAAACATTAAATCTAACAAAAGCTTAACCCAAAATATCCAGGAAATATGGGACACCAAGAAAAGACCAAACCTAAGACTAATAGGTATAGAAGAAGGAGAAGGAGTTCAACTCAAAAGCACAGAAAATATATTTAATAAAATCATAGAAGAAAACTTTCCCAATCTAAAGAAAGATATGTCTGTGAAAATACAAGAAATAAGCTGGGGTAGTGATCCTAATATCTAACAAAATAGACTTCAACCTAAAGCCAATCAGAAGAGACAAAGAAGGACATTTCATATTAGTCACATGAAAAATTCTTCAGGAGGAAATCTCAATACTGAACATCTATGTCCCAAATACAAGGGCACCATTATATAAAAGGAAACACTTCTAAAGCTTAAATCATACATTAAACCCCACACACTAATAGTGGGATACTTCAACACTCCACTCTCACCAATGGACAGGTCAGTCAGACAAAAAAATGAACAGAGAAATAAGGGAACTAACAGATATTATGATTCAAATGGACTTAACAGATATCTATAGAATATTCCATCCAAACAGAAAAGAATATACCTTCTTCTCAGCTCCTTATCAAAAAACAACCACATACTTGGTAACGAAACAAACCTCAACAGATACAAAAAAAAATGGAATAACACCATGGCTTAAAACTAGAATTCAACAGCAACACTAATTCCAGAAAACCCACAAACATATGAAAATTAAACAATTCTCACCTGAATCAGCAATGACTCAAGGAAGAAATAAAGGGAGAAATTAAAGACTTCCTGAAATTCAATGAAAATGACCACACAACATACCGAAATTTATGGGGCACAATGAAAGCAGTGTTAAAGGAAACTTCATAGTACTAAACACTTACATAAAGAAGCTGGAAAAATCCCACACTAGTAAATTAACAGAACATTTGAAAATTTTAGAACAAAAGAAAACTCACCCAAGAGAACTATACAGCAGGAAATAAACAAATTGAAAGCGGAAATCAACAAAATAGAAACATAGAAAACAATACAAAGGATCAATGAGACAGAGTTGGTTCTTCAAGAAAATCAAAAAAAATAGACAAACCTTTATCCAAACTAACCAAAAGACAGAGACAGAATATCCAAATTAACAAAATCAGAAATAAAAGGGGGGACATAACAAGAGACATGGAGGAAATCCAGAGAATTATCAAATCCAAAGAACCATCATCTACCATGATAAAGTCGACTTTATCCCAGAGATGTAGGGATGGTTCAACATATAAAAATCTGTCAATGTGATCCACCATATAAACAAACTGAATAACACCCACAGCCTCATGTACATACACCATATACCACTCACATTAAAAAAAAGAAGAAGAGAAACACAAAAGATGGTTGAATGATGAACCATGTGAGAACTGACAGCAAAGAAGATCCCTGAAGAATTACTGCTCAAAAGAAACAGATGGGCTCTCTGTCTCATAAGGATAGATGTGAGGGGGATGAATGGATGCTTTCCAATTTGTAGCTCTGTTGAGATGTATGCTAAGTGTCTACAAAATATAAATCTCAAAAATCCCATTGTATATATAATTCTAAATATCAAAGAGGATTTTTTGGATGCACCAGTAAAATTAAGCTTCATCAAAAAATACTACATGAAAGTAGATGTCTAAAAATGTGCAGACCCCAACAAGACCGCTGTACACCACCTGCTCACACAGAAACTCATCATGCATCATTCCCTTCTATATCCCACATGGAATTTCTCACTTGATATTTTCTATCCCAAGATTCTATCTCAAGTATGTTCCCAAGTTGAACTTCCATGGCCCTGCCCACTTTATTCCCCATACCTGAAACATGTTCAGTCTCTTAAAACCCCAAGACATCCCAAAGGACCAGGAGTTCTAAGATATAAAGAAATAAGTCCCCTCTATCGAGAAATGTAAGTTTTCTTCTGTTAATGTTTCCTACATTCTGCCAGACTTTGTTGACTCCCCATGGGAGCCCTTACCATTTGGAAGGATTAGATGGGGTGGGATAGGAGGAAAATGAGGACGGGTAGGAGGAGGGGTGGAAGGGAGAACTGTAATTGGAATGTAAATAAAAATTTTTTAAAATTATTTTAAAATAAAAAAAGCAAAATTAACACTCAAAAAAATGTTTCCTCCATTCTCCACTGGACTGATGACTGTTCAGAGGTGGTACCATGATAACCAAAGGGTGGTGGGACAGTAAGTGTAGTACATGTTCCTTATAGTGGGGGACACTTGTTTGTTCCCAGCTGCCAGACCATGAAATAGTCACACAGAAACTATATAATTTGCAATACTGTTCAGCCAATAGCCTAAGCATATTTCTGGATTACTATTATATCTTAAATTGATCAATTTCTATTAATATGTATATTACCATGAGATCGTGGCCTACTGACAAAGTTTCAGTGTGCTCCAGCACAGATGTTTGTCCCCGATAGAGGCTACATGGCTTTTTGCAACTACACCTTCTTTTCTCCCAGCATTCAGTTTAGTTCCCTCCTTCCCCTGCCTAGCTCTACTCTGACCTACCACAGGCCAAGGCAGCTTCTTTATTCATTAACCAATAAAAGCAACACATATACAGAAATATTTCCTACACCAGTCCCTCATCAAGAAAATTTCCTTATGCAAGAGATGAAGACCATTAAAAAGTTACATTACATATACAATTACAAATACAACAAACCAAAATGCAGAGTTGTGGAGCTCAGTCACAATAGATACATCTACAAAACAAGTCGTGCATTGTGAAAGAGGGGAAGAAAGATTGTTGGAGCCAATGGATCAGGGAGTTTGTTTTGAGATTGTGTCTCCTACTAATGTCAGAAGCAATATATATGAAGTTTCACCAAGACAGCAACCTAAACTTGAGCTGGACAATTACAACAAGATAGACATGCCATAGTGGATGGGAGAAAGCCCAGGAGGCCTCAACTCGACATAAATGACTATAAGGAACTAGGGATTCTGAGAGTGGGGGAATAGTCTTCCCCAAGGAAGAAAACATGAATTAATTATTCAATACCAATGCTCAGCTCTACAAACATACATATAATCACATTACACAGAATAAGCAGATTATGCCAAAAATATATTCATCCATATACACTGATGTATATATAATTAATGTAAAAATAAGCCATGGATTTGAAAGAGAACAAGGAGGGGTACATGGGAGGGTTTACGGAAAAAGAAAGAAGGGGAGAAAATGAAATATTATAACCAAAAAGGTTAAGGAAAAAAAACAAGATGATCTCTTGAGATCTAAAAAACTGTCATTAATGGAAAAATTAGCAGATACTCTTTCAATTTTTCTGTCACCATCGGCTAGTGATGTACTTGTCACACATGTAGCTCAGAAAGGAACATTCTGAAAGATGATTCTCATTATGAACAGATGAAGAAAACTATTTCCCAGATGAATATGTCCCCAAAATAATATAATCAACACATAATGCTCAGAGCCCATAACACAAATAGAGCAATTTCAGTCAGAAGAGCATGTGGCACACAGGGGACATAAAGTGGAACTGATATATCCCACAGGAATCCCTTGAGACCTCCTGTCCAAGATAAGAAACAAGAACCAGACATACTTACCTGGGATTGAAAACTCAAGCAGATCACTAGGCACTGACCACAAGTAGGAACTGTGTTTGAGAGAGGCGAAGCATCTGTAGGTCCTCCTGTGCCCTGGCCTCACAGGGGAGATGAGAAATGTGTTGTGGTCCTGACGTGAGCAGCTCTGGGGAAAGGAGGCATTTCCACCTCTGCAGAGGATGAAGGTGTCAAAGGAAGTATGCGTGTGACAGAGGAGAGTCACATTTCTTTTTGAGATTTCCTGAGGTCCTGCATCAGCAGAAAGGAATGGCTTCTCATTGTAAATGCCTGGAAGTAAAAAGATTCTATTAGCTGGTCTTTGTAACATAGGCCTTTAATCCTAGCACTCAGGAGGCAGAAGCAGGTAGATATTTTTGAGTTTAAAAACAACCTGCTTGTCCCCAGCTAAGGCTCCTAGCAATAGTGAAAAGGGTACCTGCACTGGCCATATACTATAATCAGATTGGTGACTACCCTAACTGTCATCAGAGAGCCTTCACCTAGTAACTGATGGAAGCAGATGCAGAGATCCATAGCCTAGCACTGTTCCCAGCTCTGGAAGTCCCTTGAAGAAATAGGGGAAGTATTGTATGATCCAGAGGGTCAGGGTCATGATGGGGGAGCCCACAGAGATAGCTTACCTGAGTTCATGTGAGACCATGGACCATGGACCAACAGTTAGGGAGCCTGCATGGGAGCAGCCTAGGCACTCTGCATGTTGTGTAGTTGTGTAGTTTGGTCTGTTTGTAATGCTCCTAGCAGTGAGATCAGGAACTGTCCCTGGCACTTAGCTGACTTTTGGGAACCTGTTCCCATGCTGGATTACTTTGCCCAGGCTTGATATAGGGGAGGAGCTCAGTCCTACCTCAATTTGATGTGCCAGACTTTGTTCAAGCCCATGGGAGGTCTGCCCCTTTCTGAATGGAGACAGGGGAAAGGTGGATGGCAATAGGGGTAGACGGGAGTTGGGGAGATTAAGGGCATGAACTATTAATTAAATAAAATACGTTTGAAAAATAAAGGGGGGCTGAGAGGTCTGAGGATCCCGTAGGGAGTGCTACTGCCACTGGAGCTTATTCTTATCCTCCCATCCTGACTCCCAAGCCTGCCTTTTTATCTGCAAGGTCCATGGAAAAGCCCAGGCACCTTCCAATTACCTGGGCTTTTCTGGTCATTCAGCAGGGTGTGTTCCAGGCTGCTGGCTTTCTTTATCACATTTCACCCTGCCCCCAAGCACTCCTTTTCATCTGCAAGGTCCTTGGATCCCCCAACTCAGCCTGCCATAGGGCTGAGGGGTCCAGGGAGCCAGCAGGGAGTGCTCCTGCCACTGGGGCTTCTTTATATCTTCCCATCCTGCCTCCCAAGCCTGCCTTTTTGTCTGCAAGGTCCTTGGAGCCCAGCAAAAGTCCCTGCACCAATGCTGAGCAGATCCATAGAGGAAGAGATGAACAGGTGCCAATACAAGAATTCCTTCGAAATCCTGAAAAGCAACATGATAACACCAGAATCCAGCGAACACACAACAAGATTTGAACATCCTAACGCAAAAGGAGAAGAAATCTACGTTAAATGTAACCTTATGAAAATGATGGAGACCTTTAAACAGGAAGTGAAAAACTCCCTTAAAAAATAGAAGAAAAGGCAAACAAACAGCTAGAAAAAAATTAATAAATCCCTCAAAGATACCCAAAAAACAAAAACAAAAAAAAACAGGTGAAGGAAACAGTTCAAGACTTGAAGAGCAAAATGGAGGTAATAAAGAAAATACAAACCAAGGATTGGCTGGATATGGAAAATTTGAGTAAACAAACAGGTACTATGAGACAAGTATAACCAACAGAATACAAGGGATAGAAGAGAGAATCTCAGGCGCTGAGGATACAATAAAGGAAATAGACTCATTGATCAAAGAAAACAGGAAATCCAACAAATTCTTAACACAAAACATCCAGGAAATCTGGGACACCATGAAAAGACCAAACCTAACAATAGTAAGAGTAGAAGAAAGGGAAGAAAGCCAGCACAAAGGCACAGAAAATATATTCAACAAAATTATAGAAGAAAACTTTCCCAACTTAAAGAAGAATATTTATATGAAGGTTCAAGAAGCTTACAGAATGCCCAATATACTGGATCAAAAAAAAATCCCCTCACCAGTAATAATCAAAACACAAAACATACAGAATAAAGAAAGAATGTTAAGAGATTCAAAGGAAAAAGGACAAGTAACATATAAGGTAAACCTATCAGAATTAAACCTGACTTCTCAATGGAAACCATGAAAGCCAGAAGGTCTTGGATAGATGTGCTGCAGACACTAAAAGACCATGGATGCAAACCCAGACTACTATACCCAGCAAAGCTTGCATTCACCCTTGATGGAGAAAATAAGATATTCCAGGACAAAAACAGATTTAAACAAGACATAGCCTTTCAGAATGTACTAGAAGAAAAACCACAACCAAAGGAAGTCAAAAATACCCATAATAACACAGACATCTGACAACCCTCCACCAACACAACTCAAAGAAGAGAAACACACAAACACTACCACCAAAAAAAAATAACCGAAGTTAACAGCCAATGGTCATTAATACCGCTTAATGTCAATGGACTCAATTCACCTATAAAAAGGCAGAGGTTAAGAGAATGGATACGAAAACAGGATCCAACATTCTGCTGTTTAGAAGAAACACACCTCAACCTCAAAGACAGACACTACCTCAGAGTTAAGGGTTGGAAAAAGGTTTTCCAAGCAAACGGACCTAAGAAACAGGCAGGTGTGACTATCCAAAAACTTAACAAATTTGATTTTAATTAAAATCAATCTGAAGAGATGGAGAAGACATTTTATACTTGTAACAGGAACAGTTCATCAGGATTGATGAAGTCTCAATCCTGAATATCTATGCCCCTAATGTAAAAGCACCCAAATATGTAAAAGAAACATTACTAGAACTAAAATCACACATCAAGCCCCACACATTAATAGTAGGAGATTTCAACACTCTTCTCTCACCAATGGACAGATCAAACAGACAGAAACTTAACAGAGAAATAAGAGAACTAACAGATGTAAGGAATCAAATGGACTTAACAGACACCTATAGAACATTCCACCCAAATAGGAAAGAATATAACTTCTTCTCAGCATCTCATGGAACCTTCTTGAAAATTGATCACATACTCAGCAACAAAGCAAGCATCCAGAGATACAAAATAATTGGAGTAACCACCTATGTCTTATTGGATTACCATGGAGTAAAATTAGAATTTGACAACAATTCCAACCCCAGAAAGCCCACAAACTCATGGAAACTAAACAGTCAACTACCAATCCACTACTGGACCAAGGAAGAAATAGAAAAAGAAATTAAAGTCTTCCTTGAATTCAGCGAAAATGAAGACACAACATACCCAAACCTTTGGGACACTATGAAAGCAGTGCTAAGAGGAAAGTTCATAGCACTAAGAAAATGGAAAAAGCTCACATTAGAGACTTAACAGCACACCTAAAAGCTCTAGAAAAAAAAAAGCAGACTCACCTAGGAGGAGTAGAAGACTGGAAATAATCAAACTGAGGGCTGAAATCAACTAAATAGAAACACAGAAAACAACCCAAAGAATCAATGAAACAAAGAGCTGGTTCTTTGAGATAATTAACAAGATTGACAATCCCTTATCCAAACTAATCAAAAGGCAGAGAGAAAACACTCAAATTAACAAGATCAGAAATGAAAAGGGGGACATAACCACAGACACAGAGGAAATTCAGAGAATCATTAGATCTTACTACAAAAGCCTGTAGGCCAAAAAAATGGAAAATGTGAAAGAAATGGACACTTTTTTAGATAAATACCAGATACCAAAATTAAATCAAGACTAGGTGAACAACTTAAATACACATATAAGTTGCGAGAACACAGAAGCTGTCATCAGAAACCTCCCAATGAAAAAGAGCCCAGGACCAGATGGTTTTAGTGCAGAATTCACCAGAACTTCCAAGAAGAGCTGATACCTATACTCCTTAATGTGTTCCACATAATAGAAACAGAAGAATCATTGCCAACCTCTTTTAATAAAGCTACAGTTACTCTGATACCAAAACCACATAAAGACTCAACCAAGAAAGAGAATTACAGACCAATCTCACTCATGAACATCGAGGCAAAAATTCTCAATAAAATATTGGCAAACCAAACCCAAGAACACATCAAAGAATCATCCATTATGATCAAGTAAGCTTTATCCCAGAGACGCAGGGCTGGTTCAACATATGAAAATCTATCAATGAATCCATCAGATAAATAAACTGAAAGAAAAAAACCTATCTGATCATTTCATTAGATACTGAAAAGGCATTTGACAAAATTCAACAAACCTTTATGATAAAGGTCTTGAAGATATTAGGGATACAATGATCATATCTAAATATAATAAAAGCAATATACAACAATCCGAGAGCAAATATCAAATTCAATGGAGAGAATCTCAAAGCCATTCCACTAAAATCAGGAACAAGACAAGGCTGTCCACTCTCTCCATATCTCTTCAAAATAGTACTTGAAGCTCTGGCAATAGCAATAAGACAACATAAGGAGATCAAGGGAATTCGAATTGGAAAGGAAGAAGTCAAATTTTTGTTATTTGCAGATTATATGATAGTGTACCTTAAGTGACCCCAAAAACTCTACCAGAGAACATCTACAGCTAATAGATACCTTCAGTGATGTGGCAGGATACAAGATCAACTCAAAAAAATCCGTAGCTCTTCTATACACAAAGGATAAAGCAGCAGAGAAGGAAATCAGAGAAACATCACCTTTCACAATAGCCACATATAGCATAAGTATCTTGGGGTATCACTAACCAAGGAAGTGAAAGATATATTTGAAAAGAACTTTAAGGCTTCAAAGAAAGAAATTGAAGAGAATACCAAAAAATGGAAGGATCTCTCATGCTCTTGAATTGAAAGGATCAACATAGTGAAAATGGCAATCCTACCAAAGGCAATCTATAGATTCAATGAAATCCCCATCTAAATCCCAACAAAATTCTTCACAGACCTTGAGAAAACAATAATCAACTTTATGTGGAAAAACAAAAAATCCAGGATAACCAAAACGATCCTACACAATAAAGGAACTTCCGGAGGCGTTACCATCCCTGACATTAAACTCTATTACAGAGCCACAATAATGAAAACAGCTTGGTATTGGCATAAAAATAGAGATGTTGACAAGTGGAATAGAATTGAAGACCCGGATATTAATCCAAAAACCTATGAACTCCTGATTCTTGACAAAGGAGCTAAAATTATACAACGGAAGAAAGAAAGCATCTTTAACAAATGGCTCTGGCATAACTGGATGTCAACCTGTAGAAGAATGAAAATAGATCCATATCTAACACCATGCACAAAACTCAAGTCCAAATGGATTAAAGACCTCAATATAAATCCTACCACTCTGAACCTAATAGAAGAGAAAGAGGGAAACATTCTTCAATGCATGGGCACAGGAGACCACTTCCTACGTATAACCCCAGTAGCACAGACAATAAGAGCAACCATAAATAAATGGGGCCTCCTGAAACTGTGGAGCTTCTGTAAGCAAAGAACACTGTCATTAAGACAAAAAGGCAACCTACTGAATGGGAGAAGATCTTCACCAACCCCGCATCAAACAAAGGTCTGATCTCCAAAATATATAGAGAACTCAAGAAACTAGACATTAAACTTCTGAATAACCCAATTAAGAAATGGAGAATAGAAGCAGAGAGATCATAAATTCAAGATTATGCTTGGTTACACAGTAAGTTCGAGGACAGTCTGAAATATGTGAGAACTTGTCTCAAAAAAAAGTGAAAATCAAGTTTTCAGGAAAATCAAGTTGTCAAGAAAAATGGAAATTAAAAAGGAAATGAGGAGAGGAGAGAAGAGGAGAGGGAAGAGATCACTATATTGGAGCAGAGATGCAGAGTGAGCCTGGGATGGGGCATATGTGGTTAGTTAGGTTGGATCAGAGACTGAGCCTGAAGGACCGTGTCCTTGGGCAATTACTCACCTGTCACCACCAGCTCCAGACTGTCACTACTTCGTGACGATTCATCTCCCCTAAAGTATTCACAGTAGTAAACCCCAGCATTACTGTGTGTTATATTCTTCAGAGTGAATTCAATCATCTCCTGGGCTCCCTGTGGGGTCCCATCATAAAACGCAGTATTGGGTACAAGACAGGATAGACGCACAATGGTCACTCCTGGAGGGATCCTGCAGAAGATGGTCACATCACTACCTTTGAAAACCACAGCTCCTGGAACTGCCCAGATGGAAGGCTGGGGTGGTGGCCCTGGAGAGACACAGGAAAAAGTGCAAATAAACCGATATCAAGAGAGCCACATTCTCAAGGACTACAGAGTAACTCCCACAACAATTGTAATCAACAAAATGCCCCACAGAGAAGCCCACAGGCCAGTATGGTGGGGACAATTCCTCAGTTGATGTCCCTTCTTGCCAGAGAACTCTAGCTTGTGTCCTGTTGAAAGAAAACTAAACAGGGAGAAGTGTCGTCATTTTCAGAATTGTGCTCTGGCCTAGTTCCAAAGGACTAATCATCTTTACTGTTCCCAAACAATGCCAGAATAACCCTCATACCTTATTTCTATCAGTGGCTTCTCTACTTGTGTCCTATCAGCCCAGGAATGAACCCTGTGGGCTGCCATTCTTATCACCAAATCGTCCCATTTCTCTGGGTTATTCAACAGGAAATCCATTCAAATCAATGACCTATGTCTGACTTTGTCTCTTGTGTCCATGAAAAACCCAAACACTATTCCCACCTCCAAAATTACACAAAGCCTCGGAGCCTCTGAAAACAAATGAATCCCATCTATGCAACACACACACTAAACAATATTTTATTCAACTCTGTCTCATGGATGACAAGCCTTAACAAGGGCAGAATCTGCAAGAGTACAAGGCAAAGCCAAGGAGGGAAGAGACAGGAGGAAAAGGGAAAACAAATTCAAAATCAAATATCTATATCCTCAGGAGGACACGTGTGCAGGTGCCCTTCCTCTGTGCCATTTATTCAATATCCTTCTGAGATACATATCATGCAGACTTTGCTGGAGCACAGTCTAGAATCCCCACCCCAGAGATGGCTACAGTAGTAAGTACGGATCATTAAGTAAGTGTGCCAGTGGCTGCCAGTGAAAAATCCCTTCTCAGGATCTGCAAAAGATGCTTCAAGCTCCTCTCATGCTACTCCCAGCCAACTTAGTTCCCCAGGGATGAAACAGAGAACAGACTCACCATACTGTGCCCAGGTCCTCTGCAACATTAAAAACACTGAAAGGAGAGCAAAAGACTGATGAGGGAAATCTGACCTGTTATAAACTGACCCAGATCCCAGAGCTCAGAACAAAAGACCAGGTAGCAATGGACAGACTAAAAGTCAAGGAAGACTGCTCTGCAGCCACCAGACCAGGTCTTCATAGAGGAAGAGTTCTATGAGAGGAGCCCAGGTTATAAAACTGGGACTCTGTATTCACTACCACGATAGCTAAAAATGATGACCTCTGTCACACTTACCAAGTCCAGGAAGAGCAGCTCCAAGGACCATGGCAGTGTCTCATGCCAGATCTCCACAGAAACAGCACACAGAACTGGTGATACAGTCTGCACAGTGGAACACAGCTACGTGATAGAAGAAACTGTAGCCCGGAATGCTGTCAGGATGAGGACACCCAGTACAAAACAGAAAGTGGATATGCTCTTTCTCAAGACTTGACGCTGACTCAATTCGACACCAAAGCCCAGGGCTAAGCAACAGTTCCTCTATATACTTCCTGTACCTTTTTTTTTAATCTTTGGTGCATTTTTATTTTTTGTTGTTTTTTTCAGCTTTTTATTTATTTTTTTACTTAAAAAAAATACCAATCCAAATTCCCACTCCCTCCCCACACCATTCCCCCCTCCCATCCAATCCTAAGGGAGAACAAGGCACCCTGCTCTGTGACAAGTCTAAGGCCCTCCCTACTACATCTAGGCTGAGCCAGGCATACATCCAAAGAGAATAGGATCCCAAAAAAGCTAGTACATGCAGAAGAGACAAATCCCAGTGCCACTGTCAGTAGCCCCTTCAGTCTGGACAAACAGGCAACCACATTCAGAGGGACTAGTTTGTCCCATGCTCATTCACTCCCAGTCCAGTTGGAGTTAGTGAACTCCCAGTAGCTCAGGCAAACTGACTCAGTAGGTGAACCCCTCATGGCCATGACCTCATTGTTCATATTCTCACTCCTTCCACTCTTCAACTGAACCTTGGAAGCTCAGACCAGTTCTCTGATGTGTGTCACTGCCTCTGTTTCCATCTGTTGTTGGACGAAAGTTCTATAGTGATATTTAAGATAATCATCAGTATGACTAGAGCATAAGGCCAGTTCAGGCTGCCTCTTTTCTATTGCTTAGGGTTTTAGCTGGGGTCATCCTTGTAGATTCCTGAGCATTTTACTAGGGTCAGGTTTCGTGCTAACCCCATAATGGCTCCCTCAATCAAGACATCTCTTTCCTTGCTCTCCTGTCTGTCCTTCCTGAATCTCGACTATCCCATTCCCTCATGTTCTCCTCACCCCTCCTCTTTTTCCCTTCCTTCTACCTCCCCCCATCCCTAAGCTCCCAATTTTGTCATGCGATCTTGTCGGTTTCCAATTCCAAGGACTGTCTATATATGATTTTCTATGGGTTCAACTCATTACTTAGCTTCACTAGGATCATGAATTACTGGCTAAATATCCTTTGTTTATGGCTAGTATCCACTTATGAGTAAGTACATACTATATTCATTTTTGAGGTCTGGGTTACCTCACTCAGGATAGGGTTTTCTATTTCCATCCATTTGCTTGCAAAATTCAAGATGTACTTTTTTTTACCACTAAGTAGTACTCTAATGTGTAAATGTGTCATACTTTCTTTATCCATTCTTCAGTTGAGGAGCATCTAGCTTGTTTCCAGGTTCTGGCTATTACAAATAGATCATTGTGGTGAGTGAGTGCTGCGGCAGCTGGGAACATACCTCAGCCCGCCCACACTTCCTGGCCATCCAACAGGGGCTATACTGCCCAAACCACCTCTCTCTTCCTATCCCATTCAGCTTACATCCAGATCCCCACAACCCCTCTCTCCCTCCTTCCCTCCCTCCTTTGGGGCATAGGGCCTCCCTGCCCAGCCTGCTAGGATGCTGGGACCTGGGACCCAATACGAACCTGGAGGACAAAGGGGTGGCCGGTAGCTCCTTTGTTCCCATAGTCTGCCTGCAGCGAGCGGGGTGGGCCCTTTGTTCGCGAGCTAACCAAGCAGCATGGAGTTTCGATCTGGGCACTGAGTGAAACATCATTGTGGTGAGTGAGTGCTGCGGCAGCTGGGAACATACCTCAGCCCGCCCACACTTCCTGGCCATCCTACAGGGGCTATACTGCCCAAACCACCTCTCTCTTCCTATCCCATTCAGCTTACATCCAGATCCCCACAACCCCTGTCTCCCTCCCTCCCTCCCTCCTTTGGGGCATAGCACCTCCCTGCCCAGCCTGCTAGGACGCTGGGACCGAATCCGAACCGGGAGGTCAAAGGGGTGGCCAGTAGCTCCTTTGTTCCCATACCCTGCCCGCAGAGAGCGGGGTGGGCCCTTTGTTCGCGAGCTAACCAAGCAGCAGAGTTTCGATCTGGGCACTGAGTGAAACATCATTGTGGTGAGTGAGTGCTGCCACAGCTGGGAAAATACCTCAGCCCGCCCACACTTCCTGGCTATCCTACAGGGGCTATACTGCCCAAACCGCCTCTCTCTTCCTATCCCATTCAGCTTACATCCAGATCTTCACACCCCCTGTCTCCCTCCCTCCCTCCCTCCTTTGGGGCATAGCGCCTCCCTGCCCAGCCTGCTAGGACGCTGGGACCGAATCCGAACCGGGAGGTCAAAGGGGTGGCCTGTAGCTCCTTTGTTCCCATACCCTGCCGGCAGCGAGCAGGGTGGGCCCTTTGTTCGCGAGCTAACCAAGCAGCACGGAGTTTCGATCTGGGCACCGAGTGAAACATCATTGTGGAGAAACATCTCTGGGGAGTGACATCACTGGGAAGGTACATCAGTGGGCAAGAAGACCTGATCCTGTAAAAGAAGATCCAAAGGGGAGTATTGGGAGGAAGAGATGGGCAGAGGCCAATGCAGGAATTCTCCCAACAATCTGAAAAACAACACGAAACCACCAGAAGGCAGTGACCCCACAACAGGAGGACATGAACACCTTAATCAAGAAGAAGTAGAAAAAACTGACTTCATGAAAGTGATTGACACCCTTAAACAGCATATAAAAAACGCCCTTATAGAAATGGATGAGAAGTATAATAGAAAGTTCGAGGAATTGAGTAAATCAGTGAATGATACCCTAGGAAACCAAAAAAAAAAAACAATCAAGCAGATAAAGGAAACAGTCCATGACTTGAAAACTGAAATGGAGGCAAAGAAGAAAACACAAACAGAGGGCCGGCTGGACATGGAAAATCTAGGTAAACGAATAGAGACTACAGAATCAAGCATAACCAGCAGAATACAAGAGATAGAAGAAAGAATCTCAGATTCTGAGGATAACATAGAGAAAATAAACGCTCTGATCAAAGAAAACAGCAAGTCCAACAAACTCTCATCACAAAACATTCAGGAAATATGGGACACAATAAAAAGACCAAACCTAAGAATAATTGGAGTAGAAGAAGGAGAAGAAGTACAGCTCAACGGTACAGAAAATATACTTAATAAAATTATAGAAGAAAACTTTCCCAACCTGAAGACAGATGTACCTATGAAGGTTCAAGAAGCATACAGAACACCAAATAGGCTGGATCAAAAGAAAACATCCCCTCGCCATATAATAATCAAAACACAAAATATACAGAATAAAGAAAGAATATTAAGAGCCTCAAAGGAAAAAGGCCAAGTTACTTATAAAGGTAAACCTATCAGACTTACACCTGACTTCTCTATGGAAACCATGAAAGCCAGAAGGTCCTGGATAGATGTTCTCCAAAAACTAAGAGACCACGGATGCAAGCCCAGACTATATATCCAGCCAAACTTTCATTCACTATAAATGGAGAAAACGAAATTTTCCAGGATAAAAACAAATTTAATCAATATGTAGCCACAAATCCAGCCTTACAGAAAATAATAGAAGGAAAATCACTAACCAAGGAGTCCAACAATGACCACAATAACTCAGACATCTAGAGACTCTTCACCAGCGCAAATCAAAGAAGGAAAACACACAAACCCTACTACTAAAAAAGTGACCGGAGTTAACAACCACTGGTCATTAATATCACTTAATATCAATGGGCTCAACTCACCTATAAAAAGGCACAGGCTAAGGGATTGGATAAGAAAACAGGATCCAACATTCTGCTGTCTACAAGAAACACACCTCAACCACAAAGACAGGCACCTACTCAGAGTAAAGGGCTGGGAAAAGGCTTATCAAGCAAATGGACCTAAGAAACAAGCAGGTGTGGCCATACTAATTTCTAACAAAGTTGACTTCAAACTTAAATCAATCAGAAGAGATGGAGAGGGACATTTTATACTCATAACAGGAACAATTCATCAGGAAGAAGTCTCAATCCTGAATATCTATGCCCCTAATATAAAAGCACCCACGTACGTAAAAGAAACATTACTAAAACTCAAGGCAGCCATCAAACAGCACACACTAATAGTAGGAGACTTCAACACTCCTCTCTCACCAATGGACAGGTCAATCAAACAGAAACCTAACAGAGAAATTAGAGAATTAATGGAGGTAATGAAGCAAATGGACTTAACAGACATCTATAGATTATTCCACCCAAAGAGGAAAGAATATACCTTCTTCTCTGCAGCTCATGGAACCTTCTCGAAAATTGACCACATACTTGGTAATAAAGCTAACTTACACAGTTACAAAAAAGTATTAGTAACCACCTGTGTCTTATCAGATCACCATGGATTAAAGTTAGAATTCAACAACAATGCTACCCCCAGAAAGCCTACAAACTCATGGAAACTGAACAGTCAACTACTGAACCATACCTGGATTAAGGAAGAAATAATAAAAGAAATTAAAGTCTTCCTTGAATTCAATGAAAATAAAGAAACAACATACTCGAACTTATGGGACACTATGAAAGCAGTCCTGAGAGGAAAGTTCATAGCACTAAGTGCCCACCTAAAGAAAACAGAGAAAGCACATATTGGAGACTTAACAGCCCACTTGAAAGCTCTAGAAAAAAAAGAAGCAGACTCACCTAGGAGGAGTAGAAGATTGGAAATAATCAAATTGAGGGCTGAAATCAACAAAATAGAAACACAGAAAACAATACAAAGAATCAATGAAACAAAAAGCTGGTTCCTGGAGAAAATCAACAAGATTGATAAACCCCTATCCAAACTAATCAAACGACAGAGAGAGAACACGCAAATTAATAAAATCAGAAATGAAAAGGGGGACATAACCACAGACACAGAGGAAATTCAGAGAGTCGTTAGATCTTACTACAAAAGCCTGTATGCCACAAAACTGGAAAATGTAAAAGAAATGGACACTTTTTTAGATAAATACCATTTACCAAAACTAAACCAGGACCAGGTGAACA